TAACCAGCTAAGATCTGAAGTAATCGTGGCAGTGAAAATTAAGTTTATTTTCTTCTGGGCCGTGACACCGTGTAATTTTATAAGCCGTTACCAACGTTTCGGCAAAATCTGATGCCTTCATCTCATACATGAAGATAAATGCAGGTTCTTCCGAAACGACAGGATTCCACAGTCCAGACGACCACAGTCTTAGCCAACTAAACAGCTGACTAGCTGATTTACTAACCGACTTCTTAAACGCTGTTACAAACAAAAAAACATCTAAACATCTGAACATCTAAATGACTTACTGACCTATGAAACATAAATACATAATCAAACTCCGTGGCCTGTAGTCCACAAGCGAACTATACCGACCGAGCGTCCGCCGCTTGTCGTCGAAGTCAGTGTCAATTTTTGTGGACAGAGGGTGTCATGTGGTCAGCGCAACGGATCCTCACTGCCGTTAATCTCGATTTTCTAGACCGGAAAATACATAATGACACAACGTAATTTCTCCGCATTTTTTCACAAAATGGGCAATATATATCGACACCATAGTGTCAGCGTCATTTTTTCCTTCAGCTTCCGGCATCAGGATCTCTAGCGCGTTCCAATCAAGAATTAGTTTCTGAATCTTTTCGTACACTTGGTAGGACTCTTTGAGCGGGTGATAGGTCCTAACATAAGTAGTCTACTTACAGTGGACAATAAAAACACAGAAGAAACAAGGACATACATCCATGCCCCTAGTGGCATTGGAACCCGTGTTAGAAGAGTCAAAGACATTACGATCCTTAGGCCACGTGACCACTGAGATCGACCGTCGCCTTCGGGCCTTAAGATATTAAAAATAATGTAGACATCTAACAGTATAAAAGACTATATATCAAACATGTAATATTGCTAATGGGTCCATTATGACCCGGCGTGTACTTTAAACATTAACGTGTTACGTAACACTGTAGAATTAAATATGTTGTATAAATTAAGTAAAATTAACACGCTGCAAAATCTATATACATGGAGTTGCGTATTAATTAACACACAACGTAGAGTTCACACCAACATTGAAGTGAATGATCCACGTTCAAATCTCGACATATAAACCTGCTATTTTGACTGAAGCTCTTGTGGTTCTCCACAGTCCATACAGGCAAATACCTGTGTAGCCCTTAAAGTAATCCACGACTACTTTCTTCCACATTCTCTCCAATAATTACAATCATTATATCATTCGCCTCCATATAACCAATGCAGTTGAAGGAATTTCGTTAAATAGATATATTCGGTCATTTTTAATAGTAAAGTTGTCCCTGTAATTAATCAATTAAGTATTATGCCATGAAGATATATTGGGGAGTGGAGGTATAGCTCCAACATTCTTGACCCCGGAACCAGATGGAGTTGAGTGGTAGGGTAGCTTCATCTCCCGCCCGCTTTATTCCCGGAGAAAGAGACCCTAGTCCCCATTGTATAGGAGGATGGATGGGCCCTAGGGCCGGCCTGTAAGCTATTGAGAAGAGAAGAATCTTCCCTCTGACGGGAATCGAACCCCGGCCATCTATCCCGCAGCCCGTCTTTATACTGACTCAGCTATCCCGGCTCGATTCAGCCACTTAGCAATAAAATATATGGCTCTGTTTTAGTACGTTATTCCACTCTTGCATTGTACTAGATTGGTGCATGTTTTGGTATACCAGACGAAAAGTCGCTGTGTCATTCTCGAATAATCAATTTATTGGTATAGCTCGGACGGTTATTCGTCTGTTTCTCACCTCCGCGGTGCGGGTTCAGTGCCAGATCAGTTCATGTGAGATTTCTGGTGGACAAACTGGCACTGAGGCAGGTTTTTTCAATAACTCCCGTTTTCCTTGCTAATTATAATTCTGCAGAACGTTTTGTTTCTCTGATCTGTCTTCCGGGGCTGGTGCAGTAGGTCCATTTGCGGAATAAGTACCAAGGGATTCAATCTCTAAGACAGCCTAGTGCGAAAACAGAGAAGTATGATAGGTGAGTAGGGAAGAATGTTGAAGGAAACATTCATGGCCTAGTTTCGGGCACTTAACGCACAATTTATTTAGAAGGACTTTACCCAACTTCCAAAAAAAAGTCTTCGGATAGCTGGTATCCGGTCCTAGAATCGAACAAGGTATCAGACAGAAAACGAAGAATTAGTTATAATTAATTAACACTGATGTCTATTTTCAATCCCACTCAGGGCATGGATGTGTGTGTGGTTTTTCTGTGTTTGTGTACAGGTAGAGGCCTTGCGACGAGCTGATCACCCGCCCAAGGAGTCCTACCGAATGTGTAGGATCTAGAAAAGCCGAAGTGAACGGAGAAGTTCATGGAGGTAGGCCTAGGCCCACTGGGGCTCTAGTGCCAAATGGGGGGGGGATGTCTATTTTCACTGAACAGTGAGAGTGATTAGCAATTGAACCTCTTTAGAGTGGCCTATCAGTTCTTGATAATTGTAGTGAGTGAAACTTTCTAGGTAATAAATGAATAACAAGTTCTGGGAAGAACAGTAAACTTTTCTTTCACTGTAATTTCATTATCTGATACGATAAGTAATTAAGCACCACCCCACGCAGACATATAGGGAAGCAGTTGTATAGCTCCACCAATCTTGACCATTGTACTATAGGTGAGTGGTCAGCTTCACTCCGCGGCCTCTTCACTTCCGGGGAAATACCCCCCGATACCTATTGCATAGGAGGCTGGATGGCCACCAGAGACGGTCTCTTGCCTCTGCTAGGAATCGAACTTCGACCATCCGGCCCATAGCTATACCGACAGAGTTATCCCGGTTCCTTCTAACCTCAGCACAGGTTTTTAAAACTCATTGTGCGAAATTTCTAACAACAGGGGCCAACACACATTCGTGTTGAGATGCGAGTGCCTTCATTAGGTACCATTTAATTAACCGGGAAACAGGAAGTTCACCTGTGCGTCCATTGCGTTGTGTAGCAAGTGGGTGTGACTGTCACTGACTCAAGTTAGGTTGATGGAAAACGTGACTTCAAATAAACTGCAGTAAATACGCCTACAGGTTTGCAAAGCAATAGTGTTCGTGTTACTGATAATTATCAGTAAATTTTGTTGCTTGATTTATAATTTTGAACCCATTATAATGGGTTCAAAATTATAAATCAAGCAACAAAATATTCGAAATATTATATCGTAGTGTCATTTTGTATTGTATTATAGTTATCATTTTGGTTTGCGTCACCACAGGCTATATATGTCAGAAGTTTACGCCATGTTCCAGCCTTTCAGCCTCCGTCAGGTATTATGCGTTTAACCTATCTGTTCAAAGCGCAGAACGTGTTACATCTGTACATTGATTGCGTTAACGGAAACCGAAATAATAAAGGGTAAAATTCATACTAAATTTAATCAGNCTCAAAACTTACTTAATCAGAATCCTTCACTTTGTTCTGAAGTTTTCAAGAGCGATATAAACTCACTTAAACACAGATGTGACAACATAAGCGTATAACATGTCCTGGACGAAAAGTTGTTAACGAATTCTATTTACATGCGTATTAATTTGGAGAATTCAAGGTGCTCTGATTTGCATACAATCCAATCATAAAAACGCCGTGAAAATACAAAGTATAGGTTGAAGAATCTCTTCTAAGTAACACTTATTCATTGAAATGACGATGGATCTCTGTTGTCGGCACTTCCTCTACCGGCAGAAGTATCACGCCCTGCAACGATTGCACGCAATGCTCTACCTGTGCACTGTGATACTATAATTTCACTAAGAATCACTACGATTATATCGTATAGAGAACATCTGCAGGAAGTTTGGAACACTGTTGCACCAAACAATCCCCTTCTCTTTGTATCGATATATGTGAATCGATTGGTTCTCCTATGATAAATCGCTTCGAAACGTATTAAAATTCTTCCAAGGAAAATCATTAGGTCCGAGAAGAAAGCATAGAAAAGATCAGACGACATTCCTTCTACTGAGTTCGAATAACTGAATATGCATTCTTATTTTTTTCATTATTATTATTCTTAGTGGGGTGAGACTGAGTCCACTTGGTACTGCGGCAAATATTGGCCTATTATATCAGCCCCTGATGATAGACGATGGTGACTGTGGAGCAATGGTGGAATGTAGACCGGCAGGGGAAACCGAAGTACACCTTCTTTCAAAATGGACCAAATTTCAGAGCCGTATATTTCACTATGGCAACATGCTACAATTACAGGAAAGGTTACAAACGGTCTAATAAGTTATTAAGTTCCGTTAACTTTTTTTTTTATATAAATAATCTATGTGCCCTCCACCTCCTGCACGGACAACGTGAAGACGACAGCTGAATTCATCCCAAACGCCTCTCAAAGTGTCTTCTTCCACTAAAGTCACCGTTGCCGTTTTTCTCTTTTTGAGGTCATTCAGGTTAGTCGCTAATGGTGACACAAAAACACGGTCTTTGACATATCCCCACAGGGAAAAGACGCAGGATCTGGAGATCTTAGGGGCCAAAACTGCAGTGCCAAGTCTTGGGGCCCCATGCGCCCTATCTAATGTTGAGGCAGTGATGCATTTAGGAAATGCGCTGATAGAGGCATCTGGCGGTAATCTTTTGAAACTCTATCCCTCACCCTTTCAAGTGGTAAGGGTTTCATTCATTGACGGTTTGTAGTTGCGGATATATAGCAATTTCATACCATTTTGAAACAGCCAGTACTCGGAGAAAACCTGCCCCAGTGCCACTTTGTCCGCCGCAAATCCCACATGACCAGACCCAGGCTCGAACCCGACGGGCCGCGATGGGAAGCAATGACTAACCGCCTGAGCTATGCCGCGGCGAACTGTCGGAAACGAACAGCGGAAAATGTGAAAGTTGTTAGCCTTAACGCCATTTTGAATGTTTGGACAAGAACATGGGGAGATCCATTCGCTGATGACAGTTCTTGATAAACAAAACGCCCAGAGCGATGACGCACTAGCGGCACTGTCTCTCAGTCGACAAGCGCAGTTCTGTACCGTTATAGAGTCGTGTCCGTCGTGTCTGTTGGGGCGACTGCAGGCGTCTCTCGATTTTTACGGTCTCCTTGTGTTATGACTGTGCTGAAAAAGGCAGGAGGACACAGTCCCGCGAAGGAACAAGGTAGGTCTACTGCTTGGGCGCCAATTATTTATTCTTGAAGTAAATACAGTTTCTATATATACCAGAATACTGGCACAACTATCCATTTTTTTGCATGAAGTGAACGCATGAAAGAGATTACTTGTTTGCGTACATTTTATATCTCCAAAATTTTTAAGCATTCCTAATGGGCTATATATTCTTCCCTCAAAGTATGAGACCACTCTTTATAGTGAAATCAAATAACGTACAAAATTATTGTTTTCTATATAGTGTGTTTTGGAGAAGCATATGGTTCTCCTACTCTTCTGCAGAGACTAACGATTTTACGGTGATAACAGGTAATGGAAATAAACAGATCTGACGCATTTATTTCATACGGTATTTCCGTCTACAGTGCAGCTTATTTTTTACTGTCCCCTTCCTTCTCACAACCTGTTTCGGGCCGTACAAGGCCATCATCAGGTGTCTCTAATTCGCTAAAACTGTTGCACTGTATAGTATGTCCAACTTCTCATATCACATCTGAATGCGATGTATCTTAAAGTATATGGACTTTAATTAACGCAATAAAAACTAGTTAAAATTTCAATATTTTGTTTGGGGTCATCGTCCATTTATCCAAATGACATTGTTTTGAGGTCTCCTTGTTTGTATTTATTTTCGCAGCGGCACGGCTGTTTGCGTGTTGCTGTGTAGTCCCCACGTATGTTGGTGTAGTTACAACGCATGTCCCTTTGACTGTACGTTCTCTGTAGTAGTGTTGTCTACTGTTCTGTGTATGTACAGCTTTATAACCTATTTCAATATAAACATTTCCTGGGAAATCCCGGAAAACTAAGGATTGTCGAAATTATGGCCCTTATCGAATCCAGAAAAGTCCAGAATATATATAGAGGAGATTTTTTCCAGCAATTAAAATATACACCTTATGTTTTCTGAGAAACCAAGTTCAAGATTAAGCCGAACCACCGTCTTTGCTGCACTGAGAATCTCCGTGGCTTTACTTAATATTTGTGAGGGAATTCTTCTCTCAACCATTTACATTTCACCATGCATAGGTAATGTTTAAACTTACGGGACGCAAATTAACTACTGTAGATGACAGTGTTTGGCCGCCTCTATGGTCTAGTGGTCAGAGTTTCTGGTTATAGATCCAGCGGTCCGGGCTCGATTCCCGGCGCTACAAGATTTTCTGAGCAGTGGGTCTGGAACGGGGTCCACTCAGCCTCGTTAGGATAACTGAGTAGCTATTTCAAGGAAATAACTGCTCCGGTCTGTCGCTCGGTCGGTATAGTTCGTTTGCGGACTAAAGCCATGGGGTTTAGTTTAGATGATAGTGTTACTAAATCTACAAACTAGAGCATGAACCAGGCATGTCAATGACAGCATCTAAATATATGCTATCTAACTGTTGTTTTACACTAGCAATATAATGGGGATTTAATGAATCAAGTTCATGATTTGGACTATTAGGGGTACATGAACCTGGCAGTGATATTTGCATAACACAGAAATTGAGCCCACTTCGGTTTTCTAGATCTTACACATTCGGTAGGACTCCTTGGGCGGGTGATCAGGTCGTCGCAAGGCCCTCTACCTGTATACAGACACAGAAAGAAACACACACTAAACATCTATGCCCTGAGTTGGATTCGAACCAACGATCCCGGCTTCCGGGCGAGCGAAGACAGTGCATGGCTACCGTGACCGTCGAACCCAGAGGTTAGTCGAGGAAATTGTAGTTTAGTTTAGTTTAGTTTATTGAGTCGAGCTTCTTTACAAACATATAACTGTGTCCACTAACACCCAAGTTATTGTGGTGCACAGGTTCAATACATACGAACAAGTTACATTGCTTAAATTAGTTCATTACCAATAATGTCACTACCGATACCACCACTACTGCACCATTACTATTTCTATTCTCAATTCATTTTCTCCTTTTACATTTTTGCTTCCAGCTAACCTCAGGGCCGGGAGGGGGGGGGGTTTGTATCACGCCTAACAAACTGTAAATTAGGAAGACGGACTACAAGTGTAAAAGACTAGAACTTGAAAGGATTCCAGAAAACAGAAGCAGTTGGGGAAAAAACCAATCGAGGCCGAAGATACCCCACAGTTGCAAACGTTAATTTCTTCTATGGCAGACGGTACGATTATCTAAACCTAGCCCATGAAAATGTCTAGACTCAAAAGGTCAAATTCAAAAGCAGAGAGTAGGGGACAACTCCCTCTTTTAGACAATGTAGCATAGGCCTCATAAATTAAGATGATTTTTGATTAACAATATGGTAATTATTATTATTCTCAGTTCAAGAAATACAAAGACTTTTAGAATTTAGGTTTGTTTTTTAGAAACTAGATGCAGAACATTCAACTTATTTGCTAAAATTGTATTCGCATTTGCGCGTCGATATTCCCACCGCTCCCAAAAGAGAGATGAGCACTGGCTGAGACATAATTGTTAGCTTTAATTAATTTCCTTGCCAAAACACAATGCTCCAGCAATAGTGTCTGTTGCTGTCTCCGATTTACAGGTAATTAGTATTTGTTGTACAGCGACATCTTCAGGTTGGAGAAAACTGCATAATGAGGAGCTTCATAATTTGTACTCTTTTCTAAGTGTAATCAGAATGATCAAGTCAAAGAGGATGAGAGGGACAGGGCATGTAGCACGAATGGGAGAGAAGAGGAACGCATATATGATATTGGTGGGAAAGCCAGAAGGAAAGAGACCACTAGAAAGACCAAGACATAGTTGGGTGAACAATATTAAAATGGATCTTACGAGAGATAGGATGGGATGGTATGGATTGGACTGATCAGGATAGGGACCAGTGGAGGGCTCTTTTGAACACAGTAATCAACCTTAGGGTTCCATAAAATGCTGGGAAATTCGTGAGTAGTTGCACAATTGGCAGCTTCTCAAGAAGGGCTCAGCTCCACGAGTGAGTGACAGCGACATCTTCGTTAGCATTTTTAAGGACACCACATACTATCCTTTATGTATAAAGATTTTCTGTATTTTATAAAACAGTGCATATAAACAACCATTCTCTTAAAAGTTGTAAAATGTTAAGTTACTAACCATCTTTGAGCAATTCGAAATCTCTCATTTAAACCTTCAATAACAGCACTATCATCTCTTAGAGATTCTTTTTTTTATTAATTAATTAAAGACTGGGTAATCCAGAACTTAATTACAATTAAAACTACTACGTACTTGGATAACTAACGATTTTTTTTTCTAAACCGAATATACTACGTAAATTAAAACTAAGTCACTGGCACTGAATTACTTAGTACTTTAACATTTTACTAGTTAGAACGGTTTCTTCCGTTTGAGTCGTCTAATGATATTGTTCACTTTGAGAAGTCTGGACGCTTCAATGTTGACACGGTTTTGGAGTCTCTTTTCATGAGAGGTGGCGGACTTATTCCAAGATTTTTCGCTGTGTTGTCGTATGGAACTTGAGTGTCATTGATGAAGATCTAGAGATTCTACACGAAATAAAGTCAATGTTAGTGATCCATACTGGAAACAACAACTGTTAAAGAGAACGAGATCACTGCCTGTATGAGAATTTTGCATCGTGGAGACACTGAAGGAACGTTCATCTCTAAACATCTCAGTGAATTTATAGAATACTAGTTCAAAATCATCTGCTGTTTTGACAATATTCTGTTGAAGTAAGGATTTTCATCTCAGTACAGCTAATCTATTCAATACAAAGTATAATTTAAACTACGTAACACTAGCAAAAGGAATTAACGTTAATGTTATCTTCGGAAAAGTTCTGCCTTCTAGGTTATAACGCCGTGTAGTGTGTTTAAAATCAACAGACGTTTCGGAAAAACATGTCATCTCAGTCTTCAGGGTCGAAGAATAAGCCAAGTAACGAACCAGAAAGAAGCAGGTAGGAACCTCATCTTCCTGGTTTCTTGCTTGATTTATTTTTCGACCACGAATATGAAAGCGACATGTCCCCCCGAAACGTCAGTTGACTCTCAAGGGACTGTACGGCGTGAAGTTAATGAGTGAAGAGATTTCAGTTGCGATATATTTGCTGGACACTAACGGCGTGAGCACGGAAAGCTGGAGGATCTCCACTGTCAGAAGCCGTTGTTAGAGAACAGTGTTTGAAGAAACAGCAAGCTGAAAAGGGCTTAGCGTTTGCTGTGGTGATCTATGAATTGTGGAGATTAGCGATAACACTGTAACTAGTTGTAGTTCCGAGTGGTGTACACAAATGGTCAATAAATCCATTTCCTTAATCCAAATCACTTCTATAGTCACACACTTAAGTACGTGACAATATTATTAAAAATTGTAAAAGCTGTGAAATTCTGGAAAATAATTAGTATTTATACCGTATGTGGCCCGAGTGTATATTCTTTCCCGGAAGGCTCAATCGTGCAGTGCCAATCTTCATCACTGTGTCGTGGTTTGGGAAGAGTTTAATACGTCAAGCGAGTACTATGCGGTCCGTGGCGGTAAAAAAAAAATAGAAAAAATTTGTAGTGTTATATCATTTTGGTTTTACAGTCTGAATTAAGTCATAAGCAAACATGATTGAATGTCTTTCTTATCGTGCACAAATTTTCGTGTGTCATTTAAATTGTTAAAGTACAAGGTGTTACAGAAAATTAACTTCTGCAGAGCTAGATGGTTCACGACCGTCCCATGTATGGATATGTTACTGCGGTCTTATCTTTTGTTGGTTTTTAAAACGTGATATTATAATTAAACCTTACTGAATCTGTAAAATATAAGCATAATCTATATAACAACTGAGTAGAATTTCCGCTAAATTTTCAACGGAACGGTAGTCTTTCACAAAATTTAGCAAGGCTGTCTCATTTGCTTTTCCGTTTTTATTCTATTGCGGAGAAAGTAATTCAAGTATTAATCGAAGATTTGAAAACTTAATATTTTACGGCGTTCATAGCTGTTTGTTTAGAAATCTCTACTTGCTGCTAAAAGATAATGAAGATTAACAGAGTTAACTAAGACAAGAAGCCTATGTTTATGAACACTGTGAAGGATTTGCTAAATATGCAACAGAAATGACTGACTGCATGTCCGCATGTTCTGGAGGCTGTTCGGTGAAGGAAGGTTTTCGAAGATTTAATGATGTTGCATAGTGTTTGTGTAAACCGATAAACGATTACTACATACAGACACATAAGCTCCTTTTCTACAGATGAGGTTATTTTCACTGTATATCGTCACATTTTTATTTCTACAGATGTACTCATTTTAGCTGTTTACCGCCACATAAGCTTTATATATACAGTTGTATTCATTTCCACTGTATACCGTCATTCGAGCCTTATCTATACAGATGTACTCATTTCCGCTACGTACCGTCATACAAACTTTATATATGCAGTTGTATTCATTTTCACTGTATACCGTCATTCGAGCCTTATTTATATAGATGTACTCATTTCCGCTACGTACCGTCATACAAGCTTTATATATACAGTTGTATTCATTTCCACTGTATACCGTCATTCGAGTCTTATTTATACAGATGTAGTCATTGCTGCTGTATACCGTCATGCAAATTTCATTTATACAGATGTAGACAGTTCTGACGGCTACAGCTGTAGAAATAAGACTTGAATGACGGTATACAGCGATCTTCTGCATTTTTGGAAATTGTTAGCTTTTTTTTTTTGTGTGGGAAAATCTGCCGCTCATAAATATGTAATAAGTCGTAGCAGTAGAAGTTTAGCTTTACTTTAAACTCCGTTGCTAAAGTGGTCTTTTATATAGCTTATTTATTAACTTCAGTTAATTAAACGAGTTTTACTGTACAACGTCATGGCTTCTCGTCAAAATCATACAACTGTCCAGGTGATTGATGAGGAAGTTTGTTGGGGTCTCTTTTGTCAGAGGAGTGCTTTGTATTTTATCTAATTAACAAATGTCTTTCCAAGCGACATGAAAGTAGTCAACCGAAGCTAATGTCGAAGGTTTGTAAACAAACATTATATTAATAATTTTTATCTAGAGCGGAGTCATAATATTTCGAAAATTTTAATTTTATATAAGTATTAGTGTGGTCTGAGTCACAGACTGTTTTATTATACAGTCCTGCTGATGAACGCTGGGCGCTAAAACCAAGTGCTGTGGAGAGTACGTGAAACTATGAATGAGGGAATAAGAAGAGGATAGCGGAAACCACGTAATACTCTTGAAGTAATATTATTAGGCTGATTAAAACGATTGTAACAATGTGGATAGAATTCATAGCACGAACTCTGTAAAACAAAAGAGCACAAATTTCTTTCGAAAACATCATGGGAGGATATCACGTGGAAGACCTAGATGTAAAGTGAGAATTATAACAAAATGTACCTTAGAGAAATCGTGTGTGTGTGTGTGGATGGGAGTAAACTGGCCGGAGATAGAATTCGACGGCGGATTTTTATAAACATGGCAGTGGATTTTTATGTTTCATAAATTATTGGGTTTCATTGGCCAGCTGCGACTACATGAATTCAGTTAGACAGTTACGTTGTTATTTAGTCATTATAACAAATGCGATTTAAATTTTCAGTGAAATTTACAACCATGTTAGGTGGGTCCCTTGTTACCTCGGCATGGCGCGTCCTCAGGTTGCGGATGTAGGAGACGCCCTCCAGGTATGGAAGGAAGCTGCGAATATATTGAATAAGCAGTCGCTGACAGCCGACAAGAGGTGGCCATCCAGCTTGTGGTTGGGCGTGTGGCTGACAACTCCTCACCGTAAAAAATAAGCTTGTTACGAAAATGCTCAAAGAGCCTTGGACCGGGACGGATCCTGTGAACATAAACTGAGGGTGTTTGAGAACAGGGTGTTGAGAAGAATATCTGGACCGAAGAGAGATGAAATGACAGGAGGTTGGAGAAAACTGCATAATGAGGAGCTTCATAACTTGTACTATTCTCCAAGTATAATTAGAATGACCAAGACAAGGAGGATGAGGTGGGCAGGGCATGTAACACGAATAGGGGAGACGAGGAATGCATATAGGATATTGGTGGGAAAGTCAGAAGGAAAGAGACCACTGGGAAGACCAAGGCGTAGGTGAGTGGACAATATTAAAATAGATCTTGGAGAGATGGGATGGTATGGATTGGATTGATCTGGCTCAGGATATCGACCAGTGGAGGGCTCTTTTGAACACAGTAATGAACCTTCGGGTTCCATAAAATGCTGGGAAATTCTTGAGTAGCTGCAGAATTGGTAGCTTCTCAAGAAGGGCTCAGCTCCAAGAGTGAGTGAGTAAGTAAGTGGAATTTACAAATTCAATCTTGTATATGGACTGGCACAACTGTCACTCATTGTTTCACCTTCAGACTGCAAGGAAGATCGTCTCGGGCTGTTATTAAAGTCCCCGGAAGAGACGAACCAGATTTTCTCGATTCATAAGGATAGAATGCAGAAGAATTCTATAAAACCGCATTGAAGAGTTTATTGTTCCAGGTCTCCCAGACACAATACACGACACACAGCAACACAACTAAATTTAGAGACTTCGGAAGTAGGTTCGCGTAAGATTTATAACTCGCTCAAATTTTGTTATTTTTTTAGTGAGGTTAAAACCACAATGGCCTATCGACCGTATTCTGTAAGTGTATTCGAAGGTGAGCAGGATTGTGTAGCAGTAATGCTCTAAAACTGTATTCCCTAAGTAGCTGCTCGAAAATGGACCCAGTATATACGGGGCCGCGAAGCGTAAATACAGTACGTTCCGGTATGTGTATACGAAAATCCGTACATTGCTTATAGCCTGCATCTCACTGTACGGCACTGCATATGCCGGAAAGTCTACCACAAGAACATTTTGTTCCTTTCAGGTTCGAACCCAGAAGAACTTGGCCCACTTTTGCAGGGAACAGGTGGAAGAACACTCGGCAACATGAATCACCAGCAAACGGATCCGTGTGGAGGAGGGAACAGTCCCCCCAGTACCAACCTGGGTGGTGCAAGGAACACGACCATGTCAAGCCCGTGGCATCTGCTTCACGCTATGAGAGCCATGCGGATTGCATCTCAAGATCCATCAGCGGATTCAGCAGACAATTGTGACATTCCCCTTCGGGAAGAGCCTCCCGGGAAAGAAAACGACAGTAGTTTTGGGGTGAGTAGATATATTATACAAAGCTCTCAAACTGTGGGAATGAGGTCATTTCTCATTCAGTCCTACAAAATCTGAACAAAATGTTTTAGTTTGATTGGAAATGATCTGAAACTGGAGTCTTGTTCATGTCACCGCTATTTTGGAGTCAGGACTGCGGATTACAAAGGGGCCTAGTGTTCTGTCGGGTTTCTATAGTGGTACTTAAGGCGTTGTCAGTATATTGTGAGAACGTTAATTGACGACACACGTTTTAAATTGGCTATTACGAAACCTTTCACAGGGAAACCTGATACATAGTAACCCACTGGTACCTTGATACAGCAGACTTTCAACTTCTCCCTTCCTTATTTCCTTTTCTTTTCTACCCTCTACACAGAAGCTTTAAAGATGCTTCCGAAGTTCCGAAGTTAGATCGATACATTTATCTCTTCTTCTGTCTCCCTATGTTTTCCCCCTTTGGAACTCAGGTGTGTGTATTGTTTCAGTATACTGTCGTCTTGTTTTCTGTCTGTAAATTGTCTTCAATTTGACTGGAAATTGTTAGTGGTTAAGGACATTTGTATTTCGTAGAATTTTAAATCCTTTCATTCATTCATTCATCAATGGCTCTACAGCCCTTTGTTGGGCCCTGGTCTCTTCTTCAGTTTCGTAATCTTCTTTATGCAGACGGTAGACTCAAGAGTTCCTGCCTACAGATCCGGAAGTCCCGGGTTCCATTCCCGGCGCTACCAGATTCTCTGAGAAGTAGTGGGCCTGAAACGGGGTCCACTAAGCCTCGTCACGATAATTGAGGAGCTATTTCAAGAAAGTAGCGGCTCCGGTCTAGAAAACCTAGATTAACGGTCGTGGGGATCCGTTAAGCTGACCACGCGACACCCTCTATCAGCTAAAGTTGGCACTAACTTCGCCGACAAACGGCGGTCGCTCGGTCGGTATACTTCGCTTGCAGACTACAGGCCACGAAGTTTTTTAGACTCCTTGGACGAGTGATCAGCCCTTAGCAAGGCCTCTACCTACACAGTGGACAGCACAAACACAAAATAAACGCATACACAGACATCCATGCCTTGAGAGGGATTTCAAATCCTTACCTATTTATTTTCCATGATCATGTTGCCATTTCTTTTGAAGCGACTTAAATTTTGAGGTTAAAAATATGTCATTAAATAACCTACATGTCAGTCAATCCTATCCAAAGTAATTTTCAAATATTAATGTAAGTACTGTGATGATGACGATATTGTCAACCTCTCAGATAATTTCATTTAGGAGTAAAATCAAACACACTAAATTAATGATAGGCACATAGATTGTAACCCGTCAGAAATGGAACTGAAGAGTAAACGAAGACCTCTCTTTATCGAAAATTTTCTCTGATTCGTAGAAAGTGGTGACAATACGATAGTTTCTTTTTTAATAAACGAAATGTGTTTGGCACGGAAATCGAAAATAATAACAAGAATTCGATGGAAAATGATCCCCTCCAATAAGTGTTGATTTCTGTTTATATAATTTTGTCACGTGACTTTCGGCTCTTCAAGTAAATTTTCTGAGAATGGGCAATCTTGTCACAAATGGGAAAATATTAAACTCAATCCTTGATAAAAAAAAACCTGCTGCAAACAAAGCAGTGAGAGAGAGAGAGAGAAAAGTTATACAAAATAAACATTGATAGAGAGAGAACTAAGTTGTGTTGATCACTACATGTAATTTGCAGGGGTTGGACAAAATAATGGAAACTAAGAAATTGAACAGAATTTATTTATGTAGGCTACTGTGAAAGAATTTAAGTTGCCAATAGTGAATGTTCTTTTTCCGTTTGCTTACATTCTGTAGTGTTCGTGTAAGTGCATTAGTGATTGTGTTGAGTGAGAGTCCGTCTGAAAGTGTCGGAAAATGAAAGCCTTGCCCAATGTTGCAAGAGGACAGATCGTTGGTGCGCGTTTAGCTGGGATACCTGTGACAAAAACTATCCCATTATTAGGCGTATCGAGAGCGTCATTTTTTTAGGTTATGTCGGCATACATGAATCACGGGAAGACAACATGAAGGAAAAGGAACAGTGGGACAAAATCAACACTGACAGATAGTCAGTGTACACTGAAAATGACTGTTCCGAAAAATCACAGAACTGCTGCAGCAAAGGTGACAGCACCCCGTTTCCTCCAAAACAGTCCGACGTGAGCTTCATACATTTACGGAAGGGCTGCAATTGCTAAACATCTGTTTGGCCGGGTTTGGTCATGTGGAATTTGTGGTGGACGAAGTGGCGCTGAAGCAGGTTACCTCCGGTTACTAAAGTTTCCCCTGACAATCTTCATTCCATCAATTGCTCCACAATCATCATCTATCATCTGGGGCTGGTACAATAGGCCAGTAATGGCCGCTGTGCCAAGTGGACTCGGTTTCACCCAACCAAGAATAAAGAAAATGCTCAGATGCACGAACGATAATGTCACGATCATGAAACACAACTGGAAACGCGTGCGTGATGTTGTCAGATGAGTCGCCCTTCACGCTGTTCCCTACATCAGGAGAACACTCAAGGAAGCCTACAATCCGAAATGCCTGCTTCCAACAGCGAAAGACGGAGTAGATTCTGTGGTGGTTTGTGCAGCGATATCGTGGTACAGTATTCTGTTGGTGCCGTTATTAACCTTCATGGCCGAATTACTGCACGGGAGTACGTGGACAGGTTGGATAATCAGGAGCATCCCACGATCCAGACATTATTTCCGAATAACGACGCAGTTTTCCGAGACGACAATGTCCGCGTTCACACAGCTGGACCTATTCAGTCATGGTTTGATGAGCGTGGAGGTGAACTTCAGCATCTTCCCTGGCCAGAACAATCGCCAGATCTGAATATTATTGAACCACTCTGGTCAATTTTGGAGATTACAGTGAGGAACAAATTCCCACCTCCAATATCCCTAAAGGAACCTGAAGATGTTCTTCAAGGAGAGTGGTATAAAATTCCGCAAGACTGTTCAAAACTTGTACGAGTCCATTCCAAGAAGAATTCCTGCTATACTGAAGGCAAAACTTGATCCAACACCATATTAATAAAGAAATACGAACAGTGTCCAGAAAGGCCAGAAAGGCAATCAGGAACTGAACAAATATGAATCGCAAGAAATACTGGGGATCCTTGACTGGACTCAGGCAAGCATAGGGACTCATACGAGGACCCTCTGCTAAAAGAGCGAAGGAACTGTTGAAGTTAAACAGGAACCAGCTATGATGAGTGGTGGGACTACTTACAGGACACTGTCACCTTAAAGGACACCTCTTCAAACTAGGACTAAGTATTAGTAGAGGTGTCAAGAAGAAAATGAAACAGCCACACATATCCTGTGTGAATGTGAGGTCTTAGCTTATTTAAGATTACGTCACTTGGGTCAATACTTTATGGAACCAAGTGATTATTTCGACGCCCCCACGTACAAAGTCCTGCGCTTCATTCGAAGCCCAGGATTGCTGAGAGGATAATCAAAAGGGGAAGCATAACAGATCACTGTAGGTCGCGGTGCAAGGGCCGAGGAGGCCCACCCCTTATACATTCATTCAATCATTCATTCATTCAATAAACGTTAAAATGACATTCATGGAAGCTGTCCCCGTGAATTATTCATTTTCTCCAAATTCCTGTGTTAAACCGAAATATGTGTTAAAAATAAATGTGATCAGGATTCCTGGCATTCTGTTGTATAGTTTTACTTTACTCGTATCCTATAAAGCTGGATAGGTCATTATTTCTGTGACACAGGACATGCGAAATCTTCCATTCTCCATCACGATCGGTACGCCTAAGTAAGTGGCTTGGATTAATTTAGTAATGACACTACTCCACCTAAGAATATTATTACGAATAATCGCTTACTGAATAATATACTGTCACTCGTTAATGACTAGACACTAAGTTTGAATTGCTAACTGCATTTATTGTACTCCTGAAACTCATAAGTATACGCAACTATAACAGGTTCACTGATCTACAATTCACAAATTACTGTATTTCAGCACACATAAAGTCTCCTATGTCCTAACCAGTCGTTGCCTGGTAACGGCTCCTAACAATGCAGATTCCTCATCTTCCATGCTCATGTCCTTACTGGTTGTCGGCTGGTTTTTAATTCCCCACGACTGAAACCGACCATTGGCAACTCAGGTTATCACTAACCAACACTGTCTACTCACTGACTGCTTTCATTGGCTGTCACTCGCTATAGTGGCTAGAAAGCGTGGTCTTGTTAACCACTGATTCCATTGACAGCGACCCGATTTTGAATCTTGGAACGTGTGAGGAGATCAAACATGCCGATCTATAGAAATGTAGCGGAAGTTATTAATGAAAATCGGATTTAACCTGATGAAAGATAGTGGTTTAATTAAACGGAAGCATTCCCGACAGGAGAAATATTGTGGTCTACTTCATCATCGTATTTACACTCCCCTTTCTCACAAACTCGTGTATTGGTCTCTCTCTCTCTAAAAACCTTGAATTTCTGCCCTGCCTTCTAGCAGCAGAAGTATTAATACTACACTTTCCACATTCTTGATATGATGAGTGAACTAGCTGAAATACCCATTCTCCACTTGAACTTCTCTTAAGTTAAAGAAGTAAGTAAAAAAGAAAGGGAAAATGAGACGATATAAGAAACTAAAAATGTAGCGAGAAGGAAAGGGAATAAAAAGCGAGAGAAAGATAGAAACAAACAAAGAAATGCAGAAGATTTCTATTCGCATGAAGTAAAGGGTGGGTATTCAGTTGAATGATGAAGGAAGTGAAATAAAAATAGGAAATACAAAAAATTGAAGGAAACGGCAAAGAACCGGAAGACTTGGGACTAAAAATGAAACAAAACCTCCAGTATATAACAAAAATACACCGTGAAAGATAAACATTCGAAGAATAAACACATTTTTTTTTTTTTCCATTGGCGCTACAGCCCTCATTTGGGCCTAGGCCTACCTCCATGAAACTCTCCGTTTCACTT